TGGAAATTGAAAGTGCATTCCATAAATGTTTTCAAAGATAGTAACTATGGTGACTGAAATTTCTGCCGCACAAAATTCTATCTGGAGAGCATGATTGATGACTCTGGGCTATGGAGGTGTCCCATTGGAGAATATGAATTAGGATACACCCGGGGGTGGGGGAAAACCAGGGTCAAGGAATGATGTGTCTCAGAGTCAGCTACACCCAGGCAGTGCCAACATGTTAACTCCCAATAAATCCTTTTGAATTTTTGGAAGTTTGGCTCTTGACTCATGATTTAATTGGGGGTAACTGCCAGAATCCTGACAGAATGGTTGTAATGTGACTTATAACCAGTCCTCACACTTATGACCATTGCAGCTCTCATGATCACATGATCAAAATTTCAGATGCTTGGCGAATGGCCTGTATTTTTGATGGTTGTAGCATCCCATAGGTCATGGGATCTGTGACCTTCCCAGATCACTTCCAGCAAGCATCCTCCATGGAGGAAGCTGGATTCGCGGAACTTCAAGACAAAGTTGGCTCAAACTTTCCATAAAAGTGGTCTTTTTGCTGGCAGAAATCCATCCCCTGCGTGCAGGACAAGAAACAATGGATGGAAATTAATCCAGGAGAGAACCAATTTGGAACTAAGGAGAAACTTCCTAACAGGGAGAGCAATTAACCAGTGGAACAGCTTGCCACCAGAAGTTGTGGGTGCTTCATCACTGGAGGTTTTTAAAAAAGAGACTGGATGGCCATTTGGCATAGGGTCTCCTGTTTGTACAGGGGGTTGGACTAGAAGACCTCCAAGGTCCCTTCCAACTCTGAGATTCTGTTAAAAGCCGCCTCTTTCCCTCTCCCCTCCCCTTTGGGTCTGTTGTAGTTAGCCGGCAGCAGGTGTGGACAGCTGAGGAGAGCGAGGATTCAGATGAGGGGCCAGGACCATTAGGGAGTGGACTGCTGCCTTCAGAGATTGTGGGGGCTGGCAGCAGCGATGAGGAGGTTCCCGAGGAGCCTGTGCTATGTGCATGTGAGCGCAGGATTGCTCAGAGGAAAGCAGTTACAAAAGCACGGGCGACTTGGGAGTAAGGCTGCCCCTCCTTCAAGAAGATAAAAGCCTGCTGTGAAACTAACCTTCTTTGCAGAAGGCAAAGACATTTTGAAACTCCAGCTTCATGGATATTCCAGTATCCTGAGTTTGTATTTGAAGATTCTTGTATTGTAAATTATTTCTTGTCTGTTATCTTTTGGCAAGTCTCACACAGTTTGGCAAGGCCTTATCACAGCTAATTATTTTGTAAAAGCATTACAAAGTTTCTGTTCCTTTTGGATTGTGTTTGATTTGTTGGAAAAGGGCGTGGGTCAGAACAGGGTCTTACCTTGGTGTCTCTTTCCTGGCACATCCTAGCGATGTCATCCACCTTCTTATTCAACTTGTCCACCGTGCTCTCCAACTTCTGGGACTTCCCTCTCAGCTCGTCCACTTCCTCCTCATGCTCCAGCACTTCAGCCATCAGTTCTTGAGTCTTCCGCAGTTGGCAGTCCAGGGCTTCCTTGTGGCGGGCAGAGGCTCCGGCAGCTTCCTCATATTTCTCCTGGAGGGCCGCCAGCTCCTCTCCTAGGACCTGAGCCCTGGTGGACAGCATGCTACAGATCTTCTCGTACTTGCCGAGGACTTGGTCTTCTTCCTGGCGCAGGTCGGCCATCTTGGCAAGGACTTTGTCCAGGAGTTGCATGACGCTGGCTACCTTGAGGCCCTCAGGAGTCCCCTGGGATGCAACCAGCAACTGCTTCACCTCCTGCAAGCCTTTCTCCAGTTCCGCCATCTGCTCCCTGACTCTCCAGTTCTCTCCGATGACCTCAGAGGCCTCCAAGAAGATCTCTTGGCCAGTTTTGTCACCGTCGGGGCTCCTGGGATCCAGTGGGAAGGTTCGGTCAACCTCCAAGGCACGGTTCTCCTCTTCTATCTCGGAGACCAGCTGCAGGGCCTCGTTCTGCTTCCTCACCACATTGTCCAGCTTCCAGTGGAGCTCCTTCAAGATGCAGCTGTCCAGGTTGTCGCCGACGAGGCCACCGGCCTCATGGCTCACCTTCTTGAGGAAGTTGTTCCTCACAAACACCACCTCCTTCCTCTGCTCCTCCAGCTTCAGGCTCAGCTTGCCCGACACTTCCTTCTCTAGCGCCAGCTCACAGGACAAGGCCTCTATCGTCCGCCTCAGCTCTTCCACCAGGCGCTTGGTCTTCTCCTCCACCCGAGGGGAGCCCTCTGCTGAGCTATGTAACTTCTGGAGTTCTCCCTGAAGCTTCTCTCTTTCCCGGCTCAGCTGGGCCAACTCGTGCACCAGGCCGCCATTGCTCTGCTTGAGGTCCCACACTTCCTTCTCCAGATCAGAGCTTCTTCGGCACGGACGGGCCTTGTTTTCCACCCCCTCAGGTTTTGGCCTCAGTTTCACCTGCCCCGCGAGGCCATTCTGGAGCAGGGTCTTTTCTACCCTGCTTTTCTGCAGCTCCTTGAGGGTCTCTGAGCAGACCGGCTCATGGCCAGAACCATTCTTTTCTTCTTCAGGAAAACCGTTGCCGTTGACCAAGGTTTTGGAAGGAGGCTCCAAAATGGCTTCTTGGAGGGGCCGGGCTTTGTCCAGGAGAGCCGAACAGGCCTGTTCCAGCTTAGCCAGAGCTCCCTCCAGGCCGGTGACCACCTTCTTCCAGGCCGCGACACATTTCTTGACCGCGCCAGATGGCACCGCTTGGAACTGCAGCCTGCTACGGACAGCATCCTCGGCTTCCTTCTTCAGGTCCTCGTTTTCGGCCAACATGGCCGCCATCTCCTCCCGGGCCTTGAACTGGGTCTCCTCCATCTCCTTAATGCACTGTGCCACCTTCGCCTGGGCAAGCCTGCTCTCGGGAGGACCAGCCAGGTGCTTCCCCAGGAGCCCCCGCAGCTTTTGGTTCTCGTCGCCCAACTGCTGCGTCCGGGCCTCTATCTCCTTAAGAGCCGCATTCTGCGACTTCTTCTTGGCTTCGAAGACCCCGATGACGGCCCTCATGTTCTCCATGTGCCCCTCCATCTCCTCCACCCTCCTGACCGCGGTGGCCTTCTCCTCCAGGGCAGCCTCCAGCTGGCTCTGCAGGCACTTCAGTTCCTCAGCTTCTTCCTCACCAGGCCACCGGACCGTCGCGGGCTGGAGCTTGGTGGGACTGGTCCCTCCTTGCGTTGAAGCTTTGGGCAGCTCCTTCTCTGCATCCTGCTGCTTCTTCCTCTCCTTCAGCTCTCGGACCTGCTGGGCCAGAAGGTCCAGGCAGTGGTCCCCATCTGTGGGATCATGGCTAAGGCGCTGGCTCAGCTGCCGCCAGTCGCGGACACGGCCCTCCCGGTCTGGCAGGAGCTGGCCGATCTCCTGTACCTGGTCCCAGACCTTTTCCTTCAAGAGCTGGCAGCCCTTGGAGAAGACCTGACAGTCTTTGGCTTTTTGGTCCAGTTGCAGTTCCAGCTGGATGACTTTCATCTTTTCCTCCCGGAACCTGCTCCGCCATTCCCGTAACTCAGGGCCTTCCTCCACCTCTTCTTCATCGTCACTCTGGTCGCCCACCTCGCTCTGGAAGACCAGACTACTCACATCAGTGTCTTTCCCGCTCTCCGAGGGCACCTGTGTGGAAAAAGGGACAGAAATTAAACCATGGTCCTCGACTCAAGGGAGGTACTAATACTACTCTATGGCCACACCTAAAGTACTGTATCCAGTTTTGGTCACCACACTACAAAAAAAGATGTTGAAACTCTAGAAAAAGTGCAGAAAAGAGCAACCAGGATGATGAGGGGATTGGAGGCTCAAACGTATGATAAACGGTTGCAGGAACTGGGCCTGGCTAGTCTAGGAAAGAGAAGGACCAGTGTGGACATGAGAGCAGTCTTCCAGTAATGTTCCACCAAACTTAACAGCAGTAACTTTGAGAGGGATCTTTTGAGGTAGACAACCAGCTAAATATGAGCCAGCTGTGTGTGGCAACAGCCAAAAAACCCAACACAATCCTAAATTGCATTAACAGAGGGATACAATCAAGATTACTTAATACCACTCTATAAAGCCTTCGTAAGACCACACCTAGAGTACTGCATCCAGTTTTGGTCACCACACTATAAAAATATGTTGAGACTCTAGAAAAAGTGCAGAGAAGAACAACCAGGATGATGAGGGGACTGGAGACATATGAAGAATGGTTACAGGAACTGGGCATGGCTAATCTAGGGAAAAGAAGGACCAGGGGAGACAGGAGAGCAGTCTTGCAATATTTGAGGGGCTGCCACAGAGAGGAGGAAGGGGGTCAAGCTATTCTCCAAGGCCAGACAAGGAATAATGGATGGAAACTGATCAAGGAAAGATTCAACCCAGAAATAAGGAGAAATTTTCTGACAGTGAGAACGATCAACCAGGGGAACAGAAGTTGCCTTCAGAAGTTGTGGGAGCTTCATCCCTGGAGAATTTCAAGAAGAGACTGGACTGCCATTTGTCAGAAATGGTGTGGGGTCTCCTGCTTGGGTGGGGGGTAGGACTAGATGACCTACAAGGTCCCTTCCAACTCTGTTAATCTGTTGCCATCATTCATTTAGCAACCATTCAAAGTTACGTCGCTGGAAAAAGTGGCTTAGGATCGGTCCTCACACTTATGACTACTGCAGCATCCTCATGGCGTCAGGATAACAATGTGGGTACTAGGCCACAGGCATGTGTTTTAATGCTCATCCTTTGCCACTTTCCTGACTCGTTTCTGACAAGCAAAGTCAACGTAGGAAGCGAGGTTCACTTAATGACCTCATACATTTAACAACTGCAGTTGGCTTAATAACTACAGGTAGTCCTCGACTTACAACAGGCTTAGCGACTGTTTGAAGTTACAGCGGCACTGGGAAAAGTGACAGGACCATTTTTCACATTTATGACCGTTGCGGCATCCCCACGGCCACTGGACTTGCATTTGGAGGCTTGACAAGTGACTCATATTTATGACATCCCAGGGTCATGGGGGTCATGGGATTCTCTTTTGCGACCTTCTGACTAGCAAGGTCAATGGGAAAACCAGATTCTCTCTACAACCACGTGACTGAGTTAACAATGGCAATGATTCCCTTCACAACTGTGCCAAGGAAGGTCGTAAAATGGGGCAACATTCATTTGTCTCACTTAGCAATGAAATGTGGTCATAAGGATTAACTGTGCGGGGGTGCAAAGGTGTCATGCCCCTGTCGGAGTCTGAATCTGAGGAGGAAGACGAACAGCTGACAGGGAGTGAGAATGTGGATCCCTTGGCTGTGGAGGAAACTGGGGAAGGGCAAAGTCTGGCTGGGCAGAGCAGGGAAGAGGTAGAACAAGGGAGAGGGAGTTCAAAGGAAGACCCAGGCCCACATCCTCTTCATCCTCAGGCACGCAGGGAGGAACGGAGGAGGGAGCAACGTGGGTTGGGTGGCTTATGGGGGAGGAAAGGACCCTGATTCCCTTCATTAGCCACATCTGGGAAGAGAGTTTAAGAGATGCATGCTGTGTACGGCAGCTGCTGGGAGCAAACGTGAGTTTATCTTGTGCTGACTTTGCTTATCTGCGTTCCTGGCATCCTCTCAACCGTGTTGAGTTATTGCCGTGCCTTCATGTCTGGAACTCTTGCCCTGCTGGACTAATGATCTCATCTTGCCTTGATTGGACTTATAGTTACAGTTTTTGTTGACCACGTTTTGGACTTGATTCTCTGCAGCCAAAGGCTGTTCCTGGGAGTTTTTTTCTCCAGCCAGAACAGGACATTGGGGACAAAGTTGGAGCTAATAAAGGGACTACTGCTGATCATCTGACTGTGTTGCCTTTGTGCCATGCCCCTTTGGGTCATCATACCAGGAGATGTTCGGAGTTCAACTCTCAGTCCCAATCAAGACTTTTAAAATGTCTCCTAAGTGGTTAAAAAAAATGAGGGAAAACTGGTTCTGCATACAGGTACAACTTACAACCACAACTGAGCTCAGATTTATGCTGCTAAGCGAGACATTTGTGAAGTGGCTTTTGGGCCCGTTTTACGACTTTTATTGCTGCGTTATGTTAAGTGAATCACTGCAGTAAGTAAAAAAAGGAATACAAAGAAACTGCTGGTGCTAAAGAGCTATAAAAAAGCAACCACCTCTGGTTCTTTTGATTAAATGTGTTAATGGCCACTCTTACCTGTGAACCAGTTTCTGACGAATCAAACAGTCCCAGTTCTGTGGAAACAAAAGCAACAAAAATTGAACCAGATGAAAGTATTTGCTGAGAATGTCAGGTCCTGGGCTGACAATGTCAGGTCCTGGGCTGACATTACAGGGCTGGGGCGTTGGGGGAGGGCTACTGTGCCTGATTTCTGGGGGTGGGGGGGCTTTACTGCCCTGGTTAACTTCACATGGGGAGATAGAGACAGGATTGTATCTGCTGGTGAAAAAACACCCAGATTTTCAGATAGATTGAGCGATAGACTGATAGATACAGTAGACCGATAGATTGATTAAGTAATAGATTGATAGATAGAAATAGAAAAAGAAAAATATTTATGGAGATTGCCCCAATTCTTCCTCACCGTATGCTTTATTTCCTCAAAAAAAAAAAAAAGTGCCACTCAGTTTCCAGGTTGGCACATATTTTGAGAGGGAATAAAGTGTATTTCTGGCACATACTCTTCCTGCCAGATTGACCACCAGAAGCGATTTCTCTGCCCAGCTTTCCATACCTCGTTTTTTCCATCTCTTCAAGGCAGTCTGGATCTGTCTCCGGAGAATCCGATTCTTGCTCCGCGTGGCGTAGTACAGGGCATCATGGCCAGTCTTGTCCATCAAAGCCACGTTGGCACCGTTCTGCAGGAGAAGGTCGGCTGCCTCCACGCCCCCATTTTCGCAGGCAAGTATGAGAGCCGTCCTGGACAAAATGGGTAGAAACCGTGTAACAAATTAACAACAGAGTTGGCAGGGACCAACAGCCCCCAGGTCTGGAGGTGGATGATGAGGAAGAGGAGGAACAGCTGGGTTCAGTTCCTGACGCTGTTGTAGTTAGCTGGCAGCAGGTGTGGACAGCTGAGGAGAGCGAGGACTCAGATGAGGGGCCAGGACCATTAGGGAGTGGACTGCTGCCTTCAGAGATTGTGGGGGCTGGCAGTAGTGATGAGGAGGTTCCCGAGGAGCCTGTGCCAAGTGCGCATATATGCAGGGTTGCTCGCAGGAAAGAGCAGCTACAACAGCACGGGCGACTCAGGAGTAAGGCTGCAAGGTAATGGCCCCTCCTTCAAGAAGATAAAAGCCAGCTGTGCAGCAAAGGTTCTTTGCAGAAGGCAAAGACGTTTTGAAACTCCAGTCTCGTGGACATTCCAGTATCCTGAGTTTGGATTTGAAGATTCTTATTTTGCAAATTATTTCTTGTCTGTTATCTTTTGGCAACTCTTGCACAGTTTGGCAAGGCTTGTGCTTATCACAGCTAATTATATTGCAGAAGCATTAAAAGGTTTCTGTTCCCTTTGGATTGTGTTTGATTGTTGGAAAACGGTGTGGGTCAGAACAGATGCACCAAAGCACAGAAGGCAGAAGAGAGGAGAGCGGCGGAAATCTATAGGCCGGTCCTTGGGACAGAAGAGCCACCGCTGCTAGCTAAGCCTCGCCCTAGCTCTGGGGATCAAAGGCAGGTGTGGTAGACAACTATTCATCTTCCGGCCAGATGGACTTCTTAGCCTGCGGTGAGAGAGAAACTTTATGCCAGGGCTACTGGCGCTCCCAATAAAGGAATTTTTGAGTTCATATCAGAGGGTTTGTTGTGTTTGGGGAGCTGGGTCACAACACTTCTCTAGGCTGCTAAACCTTTTCCCTCTCCTGATTCCAGGTTGCTGGATTCTGTAGCCTGCCTCGCAGGGTGGGCGCCGCAAAGGAGGGACTCACTTGCCCTCCTTATCCGGGAGGTCGACCTTGGCGCCCCTCTGGAGCAGCTGCGAGCAGATGGCCGTCTGGTTCCCGTAAGCTGCAATCATCAGGGGGGTTCGGTCATTCTGGAGCAAAAAGAAAAGCAAAAAAACTCAATTTTGGGCCCAAAGCAGGGAAAAAGAACAAGAGCAAATCAAGAATGAGCAGTGGCTGGTTCAGGAATCCTAGCTTACTTTTTCCAATTAGCAACTCCGTTGGAAGATCATTTTTAAAAGCAATTTATTAGAGTACTTTGATAAAGTAGGGGTCTCCCTCTATTGGAAAAATGGCTTCTCTTCCCTTTTTATAGGTAGCACAAAAAAAGAAGTAAAAGTCAATTGGTTTAGAAACGGCCCAGTTCCATCCCTAAAATTGAAAATCCAATAATATGTGAGCAAAGCCATAGAAGAGAGCCTTGAATTCTGAATAAAAGGAAAAAAATGTGAAGGAAAAACACGACATGTGGATCATTTCACTTGATAAGGTTTTCTCGGTTCAGGCTGCAATAAAATATATGCAATTTTCTCATGAATGAATATAAGTACTTTGTGTGGGTGTGTGGGTGTAACCCAACAGTTTTAATTTCATTAAAATATATACTTAAATATTTTCTTGGCAAAGATGAGGAACATCAGAAAAAGTTATTGTCACTCATCTATATATATATAAAAGCGAAATACCCCTCACACATCATCACAAAATCTCTAGAACCGTTAAGCCTACAAACTTGAAATTTGGCATGTAGGTTCCTCTTGGCTTCTAGGTGCTCACTAAGAAAGGATTTTTCGAAATGACCATCAGAGCATTAGCATTTCCTATATTATTATTAACACGCTCTGATGCTAAGGAGTTCTACTCCCCCTCCCCACCTGAAAAGAAATCTCTTCCAAATGCAAAACACAAGCAGAGGAGTTTCAGTTTCAGTTTTGGTTTCACAGCACCAAGCAGCTTTAGTGCAGAACAGTTGAGCTAAGCCACACCCAGGCTCCTTGCTGTCTCCTTCTTGCTCACACAGCAAATAAGTTTCAGTTTCCAAACAGCCCTCAATTCTCTCACACACTCACAGGATGCCAGCCAGATGAATACCGATGGATGCTGGTAGGCAGAGGCAGATTTTTTTTCTCCTTATTTTCCTCCCCCAAAACTAAGCCCGACCACATAGTTTTGCAGCAAAGCACGGGTATCGAGCTAGTAAAGTAATATTTACCACAGTAGTAAAAAAAATCCCAGCTCATAAAAAGTGCCTTCCACTAATCAAAAATAGTCGATAGGGGAAAAAACCCACCTTAACTACTAAGTTAGTAAATTACTTACCTTATCGGTGACATCAAGAAAAGCTTCTTGGTCGCAGAGAAGCAAGACACTTGAGGCACAACCAGATAAAGCTGTTGGTAGAATTAAAAAAGGGGTTTAATTGTTGAAAATCTCCAATTTTTACAATGTGTCCATAATAGAAAATGCAATTTTCATTTAATACACTACTGTAAAAAAATATTGTAGCAAATTATACTAATCTCTGCTAAACATCATAAACCCTAAATTTGATTTAAAAATAAAAAAATAAAAAAGTAGGAATGTATCTTTAACAAAACACACTCTTACTCAAAAGTAAGTCTTTGTGAGAAGGTAGGACTGAAACTGCTAGGATAATTATCCTTAATTTCACCCTCCAACTTCAAGAAGCTTCAACTATCATTCATGGAATTTTACATGAGATGGGGGTTAGTGAACTTTATTTATTAAATTTATATGCCACTCATCTAGCTTGTCTTCCATTTGTAACCCTTCCCTCCCGCTTTTTCCATTTTTCTTCTCAACTCACTGTTCCAGCGCTATTTTAATTTATTTAGCATATGGCATCTACAGAGGTCATACAATCACTAATACACAAATGTAGTTTGTATATGTCTTCAATGTGTGGTTTTTCTTAATTTATGGTTTTATCTTAATTTAATATATTATTTTATCTTAATTTAACATTTTATTTCCTATATTGTATTGTTCACTAAATAGATGATAGATAGATGACAGATACCTAGGTAAAGCTAGATGACAGATAGAAGATAGAGGACAAATAGAAGGTAGATAAGATCGATGATAAAAGATGAAATAGATGATAGAAGGTTGATAGAAGATCAATAGTAGATAATACTATATATCTATCTTCTATCAATCATCTATCTTCCATCGATCATAGATAATAAAAGATAGATGAGATAGATAAAGATAAATGATTGATAGGAGACAAGCTAGATGGTAGAAGATAGATGACATCGAAAAATAGAGGATTAATAGAAGATAGATGACTGATAGAAGATAGATAGAAAGATAAAATATAAAACTAAGATAAAATCATTCTAAAATCATCATAACACGGAGCCATAAAATTACAATTAGTTCTCCCTGCACAACTAGTTCACAAGGAAAACTCAGAACAGCTGCACAGGTTTGGTACAAAACTTTCTGCTACCAAATTGTAATTTTAATATCATCATAAGCGGAGCAATTAAATAACTGGTGAATAATTTATCTCCCATGTTTAACTAATTGAATGTATGTGGTTGACGATTAAATGTAAATCAAATTCAGAATTTGTCCAGGTTTACATTTTCTCACCCTTGTCTAACGTCTGTGTCTCCCCAGATGTGCCAGTAAGCATTTGATTAAAGAAAAAAGTTTTGCAACCCTGAGCTAATATGGTTTGCTTGTTCAGCAGGATGTGTCAGCTCAGCCATGGTGGTTTGTGACTACAGTTTTAAAATAAACTATAATTAAACAAACCATAGCTTAGTGCAATGTGGGAAACCATAAATAGGGTTAAAAAAACTGGCTGGACTCCACAAGTTTGAAGGCGTAGGAAAAAAAATAACCACAATACACAAACAATAATGACTGTAAATAAATAGTTCTAAAATACTGTAAATAGTCCATTGTAAATTCTCTTTCAAGTTCTGCTGACAAGTGATTAAAAATGCAAGTGATGTAATTTAACATCTGCATTTAACTTAAAAACCAAGCATGAAATTATATTGAGGCAATTAAGATTTATGATGGAAGCTCAAAGTTGCATCAGTGTGTGTATATCTGTGTGTGTGTGTGTGTGTTTCTTACCTTACCTTCTCTTACCTTTTCAAACAGGTGAGCACCAATTGTTTAGCTGCAAAGTTTTGCAGACATGTTGGCAAAGGCCTCTCACAGAATATATAGCTCTCTTTGCAAATTCCATGGGAGGCCTTTGCCAGTATGTCTGCAAAACTTTATATCTAAACAATTGGTGCTCACCTGTTTGAAAAGGTAAGAGAAGCTCGGTTTACCTGTTGTCTTTGTTATGGAAGATGTGAATGCAGAGAGCTGACCAGCCTCCCTCAACAGGTGATGGATCTGTTGCAGGCCACACACACCCTCGAAACACACCAGGGCTTGTTCCAGCCTGTCCCGATGCTGCTTTTAAAAATCCAAATTATTTTCTGGACTGATTTTATAGGATGATTTTATGGGCCAATCAGAGCTCTAGCTTACTATCGGTTGTATTTGCAGGATGAGATACTCGTTTCCCTTGGAGGGTCACAGCTGGAGGAAAGGGGTGGCCACTTGTCTAAAAGTGGGGTAATAACTGTAGCCCTGGAGTTCCCAACCGCACAACTTGATGTTGAGAAACTGACTAGATCATGTTCCCTGATAAAATACAATTGTGAAATTCATGAGAGAACCAAGCCTTCTCAGGGGAAGATAACTCAGAGGCTGCAACCCTCAGAGATTGTGGGAGCTTCATCCCTGGAAGCTTTCAAAAAGAGACTGGACTGCCATCTGTCAGAAATGATGTGTAGGGTCTCCTGCTTGGGCGAGGGAGGGGTTGGACTAGATGACCTATAAGGTCCCTTCCAACTCTGTTAATGTAAATATGTGAATCTCATCAAGAAGCAGAGCCCAGATGGTGTTGGAAGCAAGGAAGGATCCGATTTAGATAGGGCTTGGATGGGATGGGAGACCACCTGGGAATTCCAAAGCTAGGGGCTCAAATAACAATTCAAACAACACCCACAAAGAATAACAGAGTTGGAAGGGACCTTGGAGGTCTTCTAGTCCAACCCCCTGCTCAAGCAGGAGACCCTATGTTGTACCAGAGTGGCTATCCATCCTCTTCTTAAAAGCCTCCAGTGATGAAGCACCCACAACTTCTGGAACCAAGCTGTTCCACTGAGCAGCCACAACAGATTAAGAGTTGGAAGGGGCCTTGTAGGTCATCTAGTCCAACCCCCGCCCAAGCAGGAGACCCCACCACCACCATTTCTGACAGCTGGCAGTCCAGTCTCATCTTGAAAGCCTCCAAGTGATGAAGCTGCCATAACTTCCGCAGGCAACTTCTGTTCCATTGATTGATTGTTCTCACTGTCAGAAAGTTTCTCCTTATTTCCAGGTTAAATCTCTCCTTGTTCAGTTTCCATCCATTGTTCCTTCTCTGGCCTTCGGGTGCTTTGGAGAATAGCTTGACTCCTCTCTCCTTTGTGGTAGCCCCTCAAATACTGGAATACTGCCATCGTGTCCCTCCCAGTCCTTCTTTTCACTAGACTAGAAACACTCAATTCCTGAAATCTAAATAAATTTGAGCTTCCAGCCGCCTAATCATCTTTCTTGCTCTTCTCTGCTCTCTTTCCAGAGTTTCAACATTTTATTTTTTTAAAAAAAGACAAAACAGCTTCTGTCCTAATGGAGGGCTCTAAAGCCACCAGGGGCTCAACTAGATTCAAGAGACTTCCTGGGAAAACTTATTATTCACGTTCAAGTTCTGCTAAGATGTGCATGACTGAAGATTATCAATGGGCTGCTTAAAAAACAGCAGCAGCAGCCTCTTATGCAGTTGTGAAAAAGCTGGTGCACTTGGGAGGAATATTTAATATTTCCTCCATGCAGGAGGAAAGTCATAGAAGTTCCCAGAATCCTAGGGCGGGAAGGGATCTTTGAGGTCTTCTAGTCCAGCCTCTGTAGGGTTGTCTTAGGCAGGAGTCCAAGGAAAGAGACCTGATACTCTCCCAGTCCAATGGTTGTGCAGTCTTTTTTTTGAAAATCTCCAGTGATGGAGCATTCATAACCTCAGGAAGAAAGCTATTCGATTAATTGTTGTAAAGTCCTTAGTTCTAGAATGGATTTTTCCTTTGTAGCAATAGCACTTAGACTTATATATCGCTTTACAGCCCTCTCTAAACAGTTTGCAGTCAGTCCCTCCAACAATCTGGGTCCTCATTTTACTGACTTCAGAAGGACAAAAGGCTGAGTCAACCGTGAGCCGGTCAGGATCGAACTGCTGGCAGTGGCAGAATTAGTCTGCAATGCTGCGTTCTAATCGCAGGACAGGACAGGACAGTAAAGGAAAGGGAAGGGAAGAGAAGGGAAGGAAGGGAAGGGAAGAAGGAAGGGACGGGAAGGCAAGGAGGGATGGGAAGAAGGAAGGGAAGGGAAGGAGGGAAGAAAGAAAAGGAAGGGAAGGAAGGGAAGGGAAGGAAAAGAAAGGAAAGGAAAGGAAGGGAAGGGAAGGGAAGGGAAGGAAGGGAAGGGAAGGAAGGAAGGAAGGAAGGGAAAGGAAAGGAAAGGAAAGGAAGGAAGGAAGGGAAGGGAAAAGGAGGGAAGGAGGGAAGGGAAGAAGGAAGGAAGGAAAATAGCAATAGCACTTATATACCACTCCACAGTGCATTTCCAGCCCTCTCTAAGCGGTTTACAGAGTCAGCCTCTTGCCCCCAACAATCTGGGTCCTCATTTTACCCATCTCGGAAGGACAGAAGTCTAAGTCAACGTTGAACCAGTCAAGATCGAACTGCTGCTTATGGGCAGAATTATCCTGCAATACTGCATTCTAACCACTGTGCCCCCATGGCTCTTCATAACTACCTGACTTTCCAGCTTTTTGTCCTGCCCTCAGGAGCATTGGAGAGTAGTTTGTCCCCCTCTGTCTCTGTGACAGCCCCTCAAATGTTGGAATACTGCTCTCATGTCACTTCTATTCTTCATTAATCTAGACATATCCAGTTCCTGCAACTGTTCTTCATATGTTTTAGCCTCCAGCCCCCTAATCATCTTTGTGGCTCTTTCTAGAACCTCAAACATATTTTTGCATCATGGCGACCAGAACAGTATTCCAAGTGTGGCCTTACTAGTGTGATGTAAAGCACTATTATGATGTAAAGCAATATTATCTTGACACCATCCTGACATGATCTTGAAGTCAGATATACATGTGCCAGGATAATGTTGCAACCTAGGTCAGTCACCGGAACCAGAGGTTTAGTCTTCCAAGTTTTTGGACTTGTGCTGGAGCCCATCCTCAGGGAACACAACCAGGCAGCCCATAAATACTATGCAAAGAATAGCCCCAAGCAAACATTCTGGTGAGAGAGAGAGAAGTAAACTATGGTCACAAGCCACGGTCATCCCCATCTTCAAAAAGGGAGGCCCCAGCCTAGTTGAAAATTACAGACCAATCTCCTTATGCTGCATCACCTGCAAAGTCATGGAATCAATTTTTAGCCAATCCATTATCCTCCTCTTAGAGACAAACAACCTACTCTCTAACAAACAATTTGGTTTCAGGAAAAAACTATCCTGTAATCTGCAACTCTTACACTGCAAAAACATATGGACTACACAACTCGATCAGGGCAAAGCAATAGACGCAATCTACATAGACTTCTGTAAAGCCTTTGATTCAGTGGTACACGACAAACTACTCCTAAAACTAAATCTTACAGTATCTCTGGACACCTACATAACTGGATAGAAGCATTCCTGTCAAACAGACAACAGATGGTCAAAATTGGGAGCGTCCTATCAAATTCTGTACCTGTCAACAATGGTGTCCCCCAAGGCAGAGTTCTAGGACCAACTCTCTTCATACTCTACATAAATGACCTCTGTGATCATATTAAGAGCAACTGCGTCCTCTTCGCTGATGATGTAAAGCTATTCAACACCACAGACAATACTGCTACCCTTCAAAAAGACCTTGACTATGTATCAGAATGGTCAATCAAATGGCAACTTCAAATCTCAACAAATAAATGCTCTGTCTTACATATTGGCAAAAAAAATCAGAAAATAAAATACAAGCTGAATAGTCAAGACCTTGTTGAGGATCCAAGCTCTGTAAAGGACCTTGGAATACTCACCTCTAATGATCTAAGTGCTAGAGTCCACTGCAACTACATAGCCAAAAAGGCATTAAGAGTTGTTAACCTAATCCTACGTAGCTTTTTCTCTGGTAATATCACACTACTATCTAGAGCATACAAAACATTTGCTAGACCAATACTCGAATACAGTTCATCAGTCTGGAAACCCACATTACGTATCTGATATTAACACAGTGGAGAAAGTCCAGAAATATTTCACAAGAAGAGTTCTCCGCTCCTCTACTCATTGCAGAATACCTTATGCCACCAGACTCGAAATTCTAGACCTAGAAAACCTAGAACTACGCCACCTTCGGTCCGATCTAAGTATAGTATATAAAATCATACATTGCAATGTCCTACCTGCAAATGAATACTTCAGCTTTAATCATAACAATACAAGAGCAAACAATAGAAACAAACTCATGGTCAACTGCACCAAACTTGATTGCAGGAAATACGACTTCAGCAACAGAGTGGTCAATGTCTGGAATGCTCTACCTGACTCTGTGGTTTCTTCCACAAACCCCAAAAACTTTAACCTTAGACTGTCTACTATTGACCTCACCCCTTTCCTAAGAGGTCTGTAGGGGGCGTGCATAAGCGCACCAATCGTGCCTACCGTCCCTGTCCTATTGTTTCTTTTTATTTTTCTTATAAGTATCTATCTCATGTATTCAAAACTATGTTTATTCTTATACCTGTATCTTGTAAGCGATTGACAAATCAAAAAATAAAAGTTTCCTGAGGATGTCCCAAAGCAAGGGGCTTTTTCAGGAGGCAACTGGATTTTCTTGGTTTTTTCTTTGAAGATGTTTGGCTTCTCATCCGAGAAGCTTATTTAGCTCTGGCTGGATGGTGGGGAATGGAAGGATTTATATTCCTTGAAGACAAAGCTGGTCATTTGCATCCTTTTGAAGAGACGTTGAGGCCACTTGGAGGTTTATCTGTATCCTCAAGGTCACCTGAGTGGTGCTCCTGGTTCCTGTAGTCTGCATTTTTTCCTCTCTGGAAATCCATTCCTACTCCCACATCCTTCAAAGGGTGTCCATCCCAAATTGTATAGAACTAAAAGTCTCTAGAGATTCTCTTCATCCAGGTGATGGCTGTCCCAAAGGTGTTTTTTTTCAGGAGGCCACTGGACTTTCTTGTTTTTTCTTTTGAAGATGTTTCTCTTCTCATTCAAGAAGCTTCTTCAGCTCTGACTGGTTGGTGGGGAGTGAAAGGATTTATATTGCTTGCCGACAGCTGGCCATTTGCATCCGTTTTAGAGAGTTGTTGGGTCGATTCACAGGAATTGCCCCCCAAAATCAGGAATGAACTTGGTGACAAAGTGTCGCAAAACATGGAAAAGAGCAACTTTGCAATGCTGATCTGCAAATTTGCAAGATTGAATGCGCTGGCGTGCATCGGATACATCCCGGTAGAGAATTGGATGCATTTTGCATAGAATTCAATCAATCACAGCTGGAAGGGATCTTGGAGGTCTTCAGTCCAATCCCCTGCTGCAGCAGGAGACCCTATACCAGTGGTAGCAAACCTTTTTTCAGCTCCTGTGCCAATAATTGCACACGCACTCATGTGCACACGCTTTTGTGCCAGCACCCAGAAGGCAATGCGTGCTGGGGCACCCACACCTCCTGCATCTGCACGCATGATTCCCCTTGCCGCGCACCATGCACCTGTGCATCCTTTTAAAGAGTCATTGAGGCCACTTGGAGGGTTATCTGTGTCCTCAGGTTTACCTGAGTGATGCAAATGGTTCCTGTAGTCCTGTAGAGGAAAAAAAATTGCAGACTACAGGAACCAGGAGCACCACTCGGGTGATCCTGGGGACACAGACAAACCTCCAAGTGGCCTCAACGACCCTCTAAAAGGATGCAAATGACCAGCTGTCTGCAAAGAATAAAAATCCTTCTGTTCTCCACCATCAGAGCTGAAGAAGCTTCTTGGATGAGAAGAGAAACATTTTCAAAAGAAAAAACCAGAAAGTCCAGTTGCCTCCTGAAAAAAGCACCTTTGGAACAACCATCACCTGGAGGACTGAGAATCTCCACAGACTTTTAGCTATACAATTTGGACATTCTTTGAACAGTGTGGAGTTTTAGAGTTGCCAACAGAAAGGGAAAGGGGGGAAGAGAAGTGCTGCAGTTTGCAAACCGAAACTGCATTCCATAAATAGTTTTCAAAGATAGTAACTAGGTGACCAAAGTTTCTGCCGTGCAAAATTCTAACTGGAGAGCATGATTGATAATTCTTGGCTATGGATGTGTCCCATTGGAGAATGTGAATTACGATACACCCAGAGGTGTGGAGGGAAAACCAGGGTCAAGGGTGACAATGAATTATGTGTCTCAGAGTCGGCTACACCCAGGCAGTGCCGGACATGTTAACTCCCAATAAATCGTGTTGAAGTTTTGGAAGTTTGGCTCAAGACCATGATTTAAATGGAGGTAACGGCCGGAATCCTGACACTTACATCAGTCCATTTAGTGACTGTTCAAAGTTACAATGGCACTGAAAAAAGGGACTTATGACCGTTTTTCACAGTTACAACCTTTCCAGCACTCCTATTCGTATTTATGACAGTCACAGTGTCCCCTTTTGCAACCATCTGACAAGCAAAGTCCATGGGGGGAGCCAGATTCATTTAACAAGTGGGTTACTCACTTAACGCCTGCAGTGATTCACTTAATGATGGTGGCAAGAGAGCTGTAAAATGGGGCAAAATTCACTGAACAAATGTCTCACTCAACAACAGAAACTTTGGGCTCAATTATGGTCGTATGTAAAGGACTACCTGTGCTTTTTTTTGTTTTAGGACTCACCAGCCCAATGTAGAGGTGTACGATTCTCCCCATCCATGCAATCCTCATTTGCTCCATGCTGTGGGGAAAAAAGTACAGTTATTGTAATATTGTTAATATACGTCTAACGTCCGGTGTACTAATAGCTTTTAATAAAAAAAATTAACAGCGGTATAACACGAAATACAAGACTACATTTTCCCCTGCGATTAAAATCATCCAGCAAAATTGGAGGGGAACATTGCAAAATTAGTCTCCCCTGACAAAAATAATAATTTATCTATTTTTCCAGGTGGGGATTTTCTCTAAACACAGAAAAACAGGAAAATGGAGTTGGAAGAGACCTTGGAAATATTGGAGGACTGCTATCATGTCACCTTCTTGTTTTCTGAACTAGGCATACCTCCAATCCCAATCTCCCAATCTCCTATAATGTGTTCCAGATTTTTTTCTTCTCTGCACACCTAGTTCTCTTGCAGCTAAATTGCATCCAGTATCTTAAACCCATAACACAAGATGATATGTAAAAGTTAACGGAGTTGGAAGGGACCTTGGTGGCCTTCTAGTCCAACCCCATACCCAGGCAGGAAAAACTATACCATTCCAGATAAGTGGCTGTCCAATCCCTTCTTAAAAGGCTCCAGTGATGGAGCACCACAGTTTCTGGTGGCAAGCTGTTCCACTGGTTAATTGTTCTCACTATCAGAATATTCCTCCTTAATTCTAGGTTGCTTTTATCCTTGATTAGTTTCCATCCGTTGCTTCTGGTCCTGCCTTCTGGTGCCTTGGAAAATAGCTTGACCCCCCCTCTTCTTTGGGGCAGCCCCTCAAATACTGGAAGGCTGCTCTCCTGTCCCCCCCACCCCACCCCAGTCCTTCTTTTCATTAGACTGGCCAGACCCAAATCCTGCAACCGTCCTTGGAGCTAAATTGCATCAGGTATCTTAGACTCATACCCAAGATGATATGTGGAAGTTAACAGAGTTGGAAGCAAAGGTGGTATTCCTATCCTGCTCACAATCTTTGTGAGCTGTTGCCTTCTGGCAGAAGATACAGAACAATTAAAACTCGGACCAGACGTTTTCTGAAGAGCTTTTTATTCCAGAGTTATAATTGCACTTAACAACAAACTTAAGGACCACCATCAGTGAACGTGGTCTGTTGCGTGGATGCTTGTGTGTTTTTAGGGGACGGGGAATTTTGGTGGGTGGGGAAGTGTTTGGGGATTGTTGTGTGTGTGTTGGGTCTGGTCTCCGGGTGTTATGTGAATTTCATTGTATGTGTATACTGCGCATATACATACAATGACAATAAAGAATTCAATTCAATTCAGCAGCTTCTGACCAGTTCTGGAGAACCAGTAGCAGAAATTATGAGTAGTTCAGAGAACCAGAAAATCCCACCTCTGACTGGCCCCACCCCATCTATGCTCCGCCTCCCATCGAGTCCCAGCTGATCGGCTGGGTCTCCTTTGGTTGCCCTGCACAGGAGAATGGAGCTGGAAAGCAGGTCAGTGGGGCGGGGAGGGAAGGGGGATTTTGCAGTATATCTTTCCCCTGCCACGCCCACAGGACACCACGCCCACCAAGCCACACCACAGCTGATCGGCTGGGTCTCCTTTGGTTGCCCTGCACAGGAGAACGGAGCTGGAAAGCAGGTCAGTGGGGTGGGGAGGGAAGGGGGATTTTGCAGTATCCTTCCCTTGCCATGCCCACCAAGCCACACCATGCCCACTAAGCCAAGCTACGCCCATCAAGCCACGCCCACAGAACCGGTAGTAAAAAAAAAAAGAATCCCACCAACTGGGACCTCGGAGGTCATCTAGTCCAGCCCCCTGCTCAAGCAGGAGACCCTAAACCATTTTAGACAAGTGACTGTCCATTCTCTTCTTAAAAGCCTCCAGCAATGGAGCAGCACCCACAACTTCTGGTGGCAAGCAGTTCCCCTGGCTAATTGTCCTCGCTGTGAGGACGTTGCTCCTCAATTCTAGGCTGCCTTCTCTCCTGGGTGAGTTTCCTTCTGTTGCTTCTTGTCCTGCCTTCTGGGTGCTTTGGAAAACCAGCTCTCTTTACCCAAGTTAAGGCAAACCGGAACACCATGCAATCATAGAATAACAGAGTTGGAAGGGACCTTTGGAGGTCATCTAGTCCAACCCCCTTGCTTGAGCAGGAGAGTCTATGCCAAATATTAGCCTCTACTTAGGATCGAACTCACAGCCTCCTGATTGGGAGGCGAGAGCTCTACCTTTCTAGGCCACCAGGGCTGCTGAGCAAGTAATCTCTGAGCATAATCTTGCCAGACACATGAAGAAGCGAATTAAAACAAAAATTTAAAATTAAAAAGATAGAAATGTGGGAGAAGGCTGCAGTTGACCTACGCTGAGACATGCTCCCTGCACCCACCCCCTGCTTGGCACAACGGGCTCCCTGGGAGGAAACTGGTGGTTTTTACAAGGCCCGGATATCTCTGTCGGTTCAGGAATGCGGCCTCGCAGGCCAGCAGGGCGAGCCTGAACATTCCCAACACAACCTTGTGCAACCGCCTGGCTCCCGGCTGCTGGTGCCACTGCTGCTGGGTTGAAACTGCCACTGGGGACTCTTGCAAAACCAGGCTCTGTGGAAGCAGCGGGACTTGGGCCGGGTCCCACACCTCAGCCGCTGCCCAGGCAGATCTGCTCGTTTCTTGGTTTGTTTATGGCCGGGGGGGGAAATGGGGAGAGGCTCGTCTTTGGGAATAGAAAAAAATTGAAAAATGACAGAAGACTGAGTAATAAGATTTGGGAGGGACCTTGGAGGTCTTCTAGTCCAACTTGCTATGCTTAAGGCAGGAGATCTTGTACTGTCCGGAACAAATGGTTGTGCAGTTTCTTCTTGAAAAACCTCCAGTGATGAAGACTCACAATTACAGGGATGGAAACCCACAATAATCACACTTGGCCAATAATGAATTCAATTCTATATCTTCAGATGTTGTGGGAGCTTCATCCCTGGAAGCTTTCAAGAAGAGACTGGACTGCCATCTGTCAGAAATGGTGTAGGGTCTCCTGCTTGGGCAGGGGGTTGGACTAGATGACCTACAAGATCCCTTCCATCTCTGTTAATCTGAAAAATATTCTATTCCATTCCATTCTATGTCCTACTCCATTCTGAATCCTATTCCATTATCTATTCTATTCTATTCTATTCTATTCTATTCTATTCTATTCTATTC